AGTCCCCACCTTGGTGGGGACCAAAACTTCTCCTGTGTGCCACTAAGTGAAGGGTGTAGATGATTTCCCACTCCATGTGTGGGTGGTCAGAAGCTGGAACAGATGGTGGAGGCTTAGTTGAAAGTGTTGCAGCTCTTCAAAGGAGCTGCCAAGTGATTGTTCACTTTGATGGGGTCTTGCCTGTGCTGCTGGAGGGAAGGCAGCCAGGGATGTCCAGAAAGAATCTGGAAAACCAACTCTGGGTTTCCCCTTCCCCAACTGGGGGAGTCCTGTGAGGTGCACGCCTGGATTTGTCCAGAAAAGTGGAGGGTTTAAGTTGGGGGTGACTTGCTGGGTGCTCCGTGTGGGAATTGCCCCAGTTCTTATTGCTGTGGTGAGATGCTGGTGGCCAACAAGTGGGATGATGGTGCCAACTGGCAAGGTGGGGAGCTGCTGGCTGGCGAGGTGGGATGGTCCCAGCCAGGCAAGGTGGGATGGTGCTGGTGGGCAAGGCAGGATGATGCTGCTGGCCAGCGAGGTGGGATGCAGCTGGCTGGTGAGGTGGGATGATGTTGGGTGATGGTGTCAGACAGTGAGGTGGGATGCTGGTGGTGGGTGAGGTGGGATGATGCTGGTGGGCGATGTGGGATGATGCTGGTGGGCAAGGTGGGATGTTGCTGGTGAATGAGGTGGGCTGCAGCTGGTCAGCAAAGAGGCTCCTTCTCAGCCAGCATGAACATTTCCACCTCCAGCAGCCCCGATCTTCCACACGGGTCTCCCTCTCCTGTTTTTCCCATATCTATATAAAGAATCCAGATAACGCATCGATCCAGGCGTGCTGAGGGTTTGCTTCAACTTTGAGCTTTTGATGCTTTTTATCCTCCCTGCTTTGCTACAGCCATTGAACCCCCCAAGCAGCCACCACATCCAGCGCTGGCTTTCAGACACGGGCGTTTAGTGGCCACGCTCGGCAGGTCCTTGCTCTCGGCGGTGCCTTTCCCTCCCACCCCTTCTCCTTTCCCTCCCACCCCTTCTCCTTTCCCTAATGCAATCACTTCTCCTCCCGAGGAGCTGTCAGTGCTGGGAAACTCCAGCTGCTCAACCACATTACTCAGCTCCCTCCTGCAGCCTTTGCAGTTATTAAGAGTTTATCGATCCCCGTCGCCGGCAATAAGCGACCCCATCCGACGCCTCGATATCCGGCTGCCACCCGTGAGGTTCCCCTGGGAAAAGGGGGTGGGGGTGGAGGGAGGAGCAAGTGGTGAGTCCTGTGTCTCCTCCCCAGCCTCCCCGAGGTTCGCATCTCGGACAACGGTCCCTACGAGTGTCACGTGGGGATTTACGACCGAGCCACGCGGGAGAAAGTGGTCCTGGCCTCTGGGAACGTGTTCCTCAACGTGATGGGTGAGTGCAGACCTCAGTTGGTTGAAGGGCAGCAGGGTTTGGCTCATTTTCTCCTCTCCAGAGGTGGGGATGAGGATGGAGATTTGGATGGGGATGAGGATAGGGGTGAGGACAGGGACAAGGTGGGGATGAGGATGGGGACAAGGATGAGAATAAGGATGGAGATGGAAATGGGGATGGGGACAAGGATGGGAATGGGAATGAGGGTGGGGATGGAGATGAGGACAGAGGTGAGGATGGGGATGGGGAAAGGATTGAGAGGGGGATGAGGATGGGACAGGGATGAGGATGGGGATGGGGATCAGGACAGGGATGTGGGTGGGGACAAGGATGGGAATGAGAATGAGAATGAAGATGGGCATGTGGATGAACTCCATCCTATTCAGGGATGGAGATTCAGAAAAGGAAGAGGATGGGGACGGGAATTAGGGCAGGGATGTGGATGGGGACAAGCATGGGAATGAGGATGGGAACATGGGTGAGGATGGGGATGAAGATTAGGATGTGGATGGAGTTGGAGTTGAGGATGCGGAGATGGGGTTGAACATGGGGACAGGGATGGGGACATTGATGAGAAGCATGGGCATAGGGAGGGATGGATGAGTGAGTGTTGAGGATACCCTGCTAAAGTCCCAACTCTGCTCCCTGGCAGCTCCTCCGACGTCCATCTCGGTGCTCGCTGCCGACACGCCAGCGCCCTTCAGCCGCTACCAGGCGCAGAACTTCACCCTGGTGTGTGTGGTCTCTGGTGGCAAGCCCGCCCCGCTGGTGAGCCCCCAGGAGTCATAGCTTGCTTATAAATCTCTGAAGCGAACATAAAAACATAAATATATAAAATATTGTACCTACATGTGCTGCTTTTGGAGGGAAAAGAAGGCAAAGAGCTGCCTGCTCCCCAAACCTTACCCTGCATCACCTTTCCGCAGGGACTTTGGGAGGAAGCTCCATCCAAAGCCACCCAAGGGGATGGGATTTGGGGGTGTCCAGGGTGGTGGCAGCCATCCCCCTCCAGCCTCACGGTCCTTTCCCCCCCACTCAGGTTTACTTCAAGCGAGACGGGGAACCCATCGAGGCCACCCCTCTGCCGGAGCCGCCGGCCGGCGCCGGGAACTGGGAACCGCGGAACCTCCTTCACCGCGACCTGGACGACACCAAGGTGCCCAAATCGTTGGCGGCCGAGGGGGAGGAGGGAGATACCCCGGCCCTCCTCCCGTCCCCTAAGGGGGTTGGCGGCCGAGAGGGGTCCCGTCACCGAGACCATCCCCGAGACGGTGGTGAGCCGGGAGTTCCCCCGGTGGGTGCACGTGGCGGAGCCCATCTACTACTTCCGCCACACCCACGCGCCCGTCAGCGACGGGACGGTGGAGGCTCGAGCCACCCTCACCTGGACCCTCAACCCCCAAATCGACAACGAGGCGCTCTTCAGCTGCGAGGTCAAGCACCCGGCGCTCTCCATGCCCATGCAGTCCGAAGTCACCCTGGGTAAGCGCCCCCCGCGGGGCTGGGGGGCGAGTTTGCCGCGGGGCTGGTGGGCGAGTTTGGGGCTTTTTTGGCAATTTTTCGCCTTTATTTGGCCATTTTTCGCCTTTCTTTGTTCACTTTTGAGGCATTTTGGGGGAAATTTTGGGGTTTTTCCTTCCAAATGTCTTTGGGATTTTTGGAAAGTCCCGGGATGCTTTTTTGCTGCGAATTCCTTCTTCAATTTTTGCATCTTCCAATTTGGCAATTTTTCGCCTTTATTTGGCAATTTTTCGCCTTTCTTTGTTCACTTTTGAGGCATTTTTGGAGAAATTTTGGGGTTTTTCCTTCCAAACGTCTTTGGGACTTTTTGAAAGTCCCGGGGTGCTTTATGGTGCGAATTCCTTCTTGAGGTTTTGCATCTTCCCATTTTTTTTTGCAAATTCCTTTCTCAATTTTTCCATCTCTTCCAATTTTTTTTTGGCAAATTCCTTTTTCCATTTTTCCATCTCTTCCAATTTTTTTTTTTTGCAAATTCCTTTTTGGATTTTTCCATCTCTTCTGATTTTTTTTGGCAAATTCCTTTTTCCATTTTTCCATCTCTTCTGATATTTTTTTTGGCAAATCCTTTTTTCAATTTTTGCTTCTCTTCTAATTTTTTTTTTGCAAATTCCTTTGTCGATTTTTCCATCTCTTCCATTTTTTTTTTTAGTATTCCTTTCTCAACTTTTCCATCTCTTCCAATTTTTATTTTGCAAATTCCTTTTTGGATTTTTCCATCTCTTCCAATTTTTTTTTTTGCAATATATTTGCAAATATCTTTTACTGAAATTTTGGCGTTTTTTTTTTTTATTCATTTTGCAATTTTTTTGTACTTTTTTCCCTTTTTTCCCCCCTTTTTTTTGCTTTTTTCATTATTTTTG